ATATTAAGGTGTAAATATCATCTATATAGCCTAATATTAACAACCATGAAAGGTCTGTCAATGACTTTGACTGGATTTGGCATCTTCGCGCTCCAAAAAAAATCAATCTTTTTTCTATGGCTTTGTTACCATAATAGACTTCCAACTAGAACCTATCTCAATAATATTGGCATCAACATTGATAGAACGTGTCCAATCTGTCGGAGTGCTAAAGAAACCATTACCCATATATTCATTTCTTGCCCCATAGCTAACAGGTTTTGGAATGAAATTGGTGTCAATAATACTAGCATCGCGCTGGTGGAGGGCCATTGGATTGATACTGTAAAAAAGTTTCAACCCCCAATACCTCTCTTAATGTTAGATTGGCTTGAATTTTTTCCATTTGCACTTTGGAACCTGTGGATCAATAGAAACAATAACAACTTTAACAATGACCAACAAGATCTCTCTCTAAGCCTAGTTATTACCCGTGCACAAGAATTTAAGCTCCTTACCTACAATCACTCTAGCCCGACCAACAAAAAGAGCATAAAGGTTAAATGGCATAAGCCAAGGCAAGGTGCTTATAAATTGAATACAGATGGAGCTTATAAAGGCAATGATAAGATTGGTGGTTTGGGTGGTATCATCCGAAATTCCACTGGAGATTGGATTGTTGGATTCCAGGAACATACTCATGTGCTTAATCATACTTACACCGAACTTCTTGCTTTAAAGCAAGGACTGCAGCTTGCCCATGAAAGAAAATTGAAGCCGCTAGAGGTGGAAACAGACTCGGTGGAAGTAATACAACTGATTCAAAGTAATCATCCTACATATAACTCAATCGTTCAGTCATGCAGGTGGTTAATGCTCCAGCTAGAGATTCAGAACATCATTCATTGTGTTCGCGAAGCAAATTCAGTAGCCCATCTCTTGGCAACAGAAAGTACCAAGCTTGACTATTTCAACACTCAAGTGAAACTTGATACCGTCCCTCACTTTGTGGCTGCCAACTTTCTAGCAGATCAAAGGGGGTCCTCCTTTACTAGAACTATTTCAGAGAGCTCTTGTAATAATTTAGCTAGTCTTGGGAATATCGGTGCTATAATTGGCACCTCTATTTTTTCTGATAGCTCCTTTAACTCTACAAATCATGGACTCGATCCCATTGGGACTTCCATGATAGAACATTGTAATGCTACTTAGTTTTGTTAATAAAGTATCCCTGTTAACCAAAAAAAAAAGTTACGCCTATGTTGTTCGGACTCTCCAAAAGTGCTGCCGCACCCGTGTCGGATCCTCCAAAAATACACTAAATTTGGAGGATCCGACACGCACCCAATAATATTTTTGAAGAGTCCGAGTAACATAGGTTATGACTGCGTTGGATGCAAGCGTTAGCCTATGGGAAAGCCTATTCCAACTTTGGTTACTCGACCAATGAAGGAAAACTATTTTATTATAATTGTCTGAAATCTCTTTACAATTCTTTATTTCCTCCACACATAAAATAAGCTATCAACATCTCTATTTATAATAGTATGAAACATATTTCAACTAGAAACAAGAAAGTCTATTCCTATATTTATTCTAACTGCAAATCATATTTAGACATGAATTAAATAAATCAAATTCTAAATAATTAAGGTTTCCTACTACAACTTTGAATTAGTTTTCCGGCAACCAAGGATTCAACTCTTTGGTGCCTTATTATTGCCTTTCTTCAAAAAAAATAAAAAAAAAATAAAAACAATTGGGGATGTTGGTATGTTTTTAAGGAATTTAATAAGGAGAATTGATACTATGAACTTTTGTTTAAGAAACCATACAATTTACAATTAATTCCTTTTCAAAATGTAGGACTGAATGTAGGGCCGGGCATATATCGGGTAAAATCAATAACCCGAACCGTTAGTTGTTTATTGGGTTATTGGTATTGGATTATTGGGTTAATGATTCGGAGTTTAGAATTTTTTCACTATTGGTTTATCGGTTCGGGCCTCGGTTTTCCAATTTTGTTAATGGGTTAACCGATAATCCAATAAGAATTAATAAGATTATGACTTTACCCTTAAGTGTATGTGTGTGTGTGTGTGTGTGTCTATATATATATATATATATATATATATATATATATATATATATATATATATATATATATATATATTCTAGGGCTTCAGTTCATTCTCTCCTATTCTTTCTCAGCCGCACTCTTTAGTTGCTTAATCTTCATTCTTTATAGACCTTACTAGTTACTCCTAGCGTAAGTATTTAGTCTTATACATTAGGCTTTTAATTTCTATAACAAAATTCATCTTTGTATAGGGATTGCTCTATGGTTTCTTTTTTCAAGTTAGGCATTTGACAAACAACATCCAGTTTTTCTTGGACTGTTTGAGGGCTTCAATGCTTGTGGAAGTGCAGGTATTGTGTGAAATAAAAATTCTAAATCAACTAGTATTGTTATCATATTGGAAGAGGCAGCTAATGCCTTGGAACATTTTGTGGGAATTGCTGTAGTTTGATAAGTATTTATCCAATGATTTTTTGGTGAGGCCTTAAGAATTGTGTAGTTGTTGTCTTGTTAACTTGAATTTGAATTATTAGTACTATATGTTTGGACTCGTTAATTTTAAGGTGAAATTACTACTACTTTGTATTATTATTAATGTATTTGGACAACTGTTGTTGAAGAATTAGTACTATTCCAGTTGTGGCCACTGGACAGAATGCATAAATGGGTAGTATACTATATGTGAATTCTTCTCTTTTTTGCTTAAAACCCTAGATTGAGTTATCTTATCGGGTAAACCGATAACCGAACCGATAAAGATCGATACCTGATAACCCGATATCTTATCGGTTCGATTATCGGTTTATCAAATTTGTAAACCGCTAATATTCATAACCGAACCGAACCGACCGATGCCCTCCTGTCCGATTCATAAGGATAGGAATAAACCGCTTTATGCTCAAAATGAGCAATAGTCATAAAAGGTCGTGTCATCTTTCTTCCATTTTTATCAATTGGATATTTAGTTTTTGCAAAAAAATAAGTACTTTTATTATTATTCATAGTTAATAAACAAGAGTTTTTCTTAACTCCGTTTTTACCCCATAGAGATATTGAATAGAAGGGGGTTTTTTGTTTCCCACCATAATTTTGAAAATGAACGTTTAAATGCCCTTCAAAAGTAAGTAAATAGATTCGAAACATATAAAATGCGGTTAATCCCGCCGTGGCCCAAGCTATTATTGCGAAAATTGGAGAATACAACCAACTATCATTAAGAATTTCATCTTTGGACCAAAAACAAGCAAGAGGTGGAATACCACAAAGAGAAAGTGTACCTAATAAAAATGTGATTTTGGTAATTGGTACATGTTTTCTTAAACCTCCCATAAGACCCATATTCTGGCTTTTAGCTGGAGAATATCCAACAATAGTTTCCATTGAATGAATAATGGATCCGGATCCTAAAAATAATAATGCTTTGGAATAAGCATGAGTAATCAAATGAAATAAAGCGCTTCGATAAGACCCCATACCAAGAGCTAACATCATATAACCCAATTGAGACATTGTGGAATAGGCTAAACCTCTCTTAATGTCTTTTCGAGCAAGAGCTAAAGTAGCTCCTAATAATACTGTTATTATTCCTATAACCGAGATCAAATACATTATGTAAGGTATAACTCTGAAAAGAGGAAGAAGCCGAGCTACCAGAAAAATTCCCGCCGCTACCTGTTTATTTAAAAAAAATATAACAGTGCATGCATCCTCCAATTAGAAATTCGTCGCTGGAAAAAGAAAAAGCATGCGTATGATCCTCTTTGTTTCCCCTCTCTCGACTTATAGATTATTGTCAAATTATTTATAGCATAAATTCTTGTGAATGATAAATTTCTCAATTTTTTTGTCATGATTAACAAATAAATTGTATATGGAAGAATTAGTAGATATGCTTAACCGCAAAATGGGAATGGGGTAGGATTATAAAGTTAAAAGTAATATGATGATGGAGCCAAATACCATAAGTTCATCTCATAAAGGGCTTGGCAATTGTGCATCATTAAACAACAAGGGTTCATTTGAGCACAATTACAAAGAGTTACTTATGCTGGATTAGGACTTTTCACAATAAGACAAGTTCGTTAGTATATATCATATTTAGTATCCTTAAATAAATGAAAAAAGAGTTTTCTTCTTATTTCACGTGTAAAGCATTTTTTGATGGTACAACCCAAGCAACTAAATGTCCAACTAACACACGCTCGACCAGTATCGGCTATATGAATCATCATTGATTAATTGTTCATGTTATGTTATTTAAGCTTGTGTTAGTCCAATATGACCAAAAGAATAATTTGTTTTCCGTACATTATATAAAGTCGTATGTAGATTTTTAACTCAACATGATGAAATTCAAATAACGGGTATAAACAAGCTAGAATTTATGTAAAACAATTACCATAGATAAAGTAAGTCGATGAAGCTCCATAAATTGACAATTTTCCAAATGTGGTAAGCTATAGTTTGAATAGCCCAATAAGGACTAGAACCATAAAAAATCGTAAAAATAGCATGGGCTAGCCAGTTTTCGGACTGGTCATTCAAAAATAGCCATTATTTTGCTGCAAGACGGAAAGTTCCAGCATAATATACTGGAGAGCGGTGCACCTGTGTATGAAGTTCCAACATATTATGCTGAACCGGTATATTATACTGGAACTCCAGAGTTCCAATATAATATACTAGAGTTCCAGCACACTTTGCTGGAACTCCAGTATGTTATACTGGAATTCCAGTATATTATGCTGGAGTATTTTCCGGATTTTGAACAGTATTTTCTTTCAGATTTATCTTTACATGAAAAGTGGTTAAATTTCGATTACTTTTGACACTGTGAGGATTTGTATTTTGTAACAATAATTACATTAGTAAAAGAAAAAAACTTTCACCACACAACCTCAAGAAAGTCACAGCTCTTTTCACTCTTTAAATTCCAACAATTACTGTAGTCTTGATTTTCTATATTTCCCAACAATAATCTAATCTTAACCTACCAGCTGCCAGACATGAGAACCATACAGTTGCACCATTATAATGCATTGACCTTTTCCTATTCCAAATCTTACTGCTTTTTCATTCTTTTGACCTTTACATCAACGTAAACTTAGCTATCTTTCCTTTTCTCAAGGAAAAATACGTAACTTAGACATTTAATTATTAAAAAAGTTTTGTTTTCAATTTGAAACACAATTTATAGAAATCAAAAACAAAACCATTATGATGCTATCAGAGTTGGTCCGGAAACAAAGGAGAAGAAAATTTTGGTTCTTGACCGGAGTCCGACAATCGCCGGCGGATTTCAAGGTATATATAGTGACTACAGTTTGCACTTCAGATACTGCGTTTACGCATTGAACAACCTCCTCATCATCCATCTTAGATAACTGATTCTCTCTTTAAAAATCCGACTACACCTTTCAATTCTTGCTGAAAGATAGTACCTTTTTTTGTTAGTGGGATGATGAATTCAGATTCAATCTCCCTCATAGCATCAAGCAACAACAAGCCAATGGCAATACCCACAAAGGAGGAGGAAGAAGAAGAACCACCAATTTCCACCACTTCTTTGCTTTCTTTTGACACAGATTCTTCTTCCCTGTCTACTCCTTCTAAACACCCTTTGACTACTCTAATTTTCACAGCCCTAATTCTTGTCACTTGTATAGCTCTCTCTGCAGCCTTTGCCTTTGGTTTCCTCTTCTTTTCCTCCTCTTCACGTCCTTCTCTATCCATTTCTGATGATATATCAGTTAGGCCACTCAAGAAACTCAAACGTCCAGTTGTTCTCTTGGTTTCTTCAGATGGGTTTCGCTTTGGATATCAGTACAAAACAGATACCCCTAATATCAATAGACTGATCAAGAATGGGACAGAAGCTGAATTGGGTTTAATACCTGTGTTTCCAACTTTGACTTTTCCTAATCATTATGCTATTGTTACTGGATTGTACCCTGCTTATCATGGTATTGTTAACAATTATTTTCTTGATCCCAATACTGGTGAAGCTTTTAGTATGAAGAGTTATGATCCCAAGTGGTGGCTCGGTGAGCCGCTTTGGGAAACTGTGGTCAATCACGGTCTTAAAGCTGCTACATATTTCTGGCCTGGCTCTGAGGTTAATAAAGGAGGTTGGACTTGTCCTCAATCTCTCTGTGTGATATATAATGGTTCTGTTCCATTTGAAGAAAGAGTTGATACAGTTTTGAACTACTTTGACTTGCCAAGTGATGAAATCCCGTCGTTTATGACGCTCTATTTCGGAGACCCTGATCATCAGGGTCACAAGGTTGGCCCAGATGATCCACAGATCACTGAAGCCATTACAAGAGTCGATAGGATGATTGGGAGGTTGATCCGGGGTTTAGAGGAAAGAGGGGTTTTTGAGGATGTGAACATCATAATGGTCGGCGATCATGGTATGGTTGGCACTTGTGATAAAAAGTTAATCTTTTTAGAGGATTTGGCTCAGTGGATTGAAATCCCAAAGGATTGGATACAGTCATATAGTCCATTGTTTTCCATTCGTCCACCACCAAGTTACTCCGCCAAGGATGTGGTTACCAAGATGAACAAGGGCTTAAAGTCAGGAAAGGTTGAGAACGGTCAGTATTTGAAAGTGTATCTGAAGGAGGAGCTGCCTGCTCGGCTTCATTATTCAGCTAGCGACCGAATACCACCCATCATTGGGTTGATTGATGAATCATTTAAGGTCGAGCAGAAGAGCTCAAAAAGGAAAGAGTGTGGTGGATCTCATGGGTATGACAATGCATTCTTCTCAATGAGGAGCATCTTCATTGCACATGGTCCTCAGTTTGCCAGGGGCCGTAAAGTCCCATCTTTTGAGAACATTCAGATTTACAACCTGGTTACCACAATCCTTAATATACAAGGAGCACCCAACAATGGGACAACATCATTTCCAAAGACGATTCTTTTACCCAGCCACTAAGACATTTTTGAGAAAGCTAATTACGGATGTGAGAGAATATCATCTGTTTTTGTATGCCTCACTTAGCAATTAAAAAGAAAGACTGTTAAAAGCTGATGTAAGGTGATGAACTACTTCTGAATAGAACACAAATTCAGGGAAGTAGGAACGATTTTTTCTTCCTACGAATCTTCGTTTACTTCATTTTAAAACTTTCTTTTTGGGCAATCTTGGTTCCCTACACAAACAAGGATGTGTATGCTCCAAGTTATATCAATGGAAACTCAGACCCTACGATATGGAAAACGAAAGCCTTTGAATTGAAGGGCAATTTGATTTTTTTCCTGTGTTCCTATGGAGATATTGGCATTACTATGTGAAAATGGTGTATTACTGTTCAACTACTGCGAAAAGGCTTGACACACACCCCATAAACATAAAAGCAAATTGCATGTGAAGAATTTCTGTGAACCATATTTTACGAGGAGAGCAATCTACTTTGATAGTATTTCTTTTTTTCCTTTTCTTTTCTTTTTTAATATTTCGATAGTTGGTTTCTATTAAGGCTGTGTTTGGATGCATTAGCCTATTCCATCTTTGGTTACTCGACCAACACTTCAACTCTTTGGTGCTTCTTATTGCCTTTCTTGGAAGCTATCTTCAGAACAAAAGAAAGAGAAAAAAGGCCAATTAGATTGGAAGAACTTTTGTGTTTTTATTGTGCTGCTGCTATTTTTTCTAAGGAATTTTATAAGAGAATTCGAACTCTGAATTTTAGTTTAAGAAATCATACAATTTACAATTATTTCCCTCTTTTTTTTTATTTGCACCGGGTGTCCGAGTCTCTAAGAGACCCGACTAATCCCGGGGGTGCACAGGCCCTCGGCAAGGAGTTTCCCGCAAGTGCACCACGGTTAATTCAGGGATGACCCTCAAAAATTGTTTGCACCCAGTGGGTTTCGAACTTGAGACCTTGAAAGGGAGCAAACCCCAAGGCTCAAGTCTATTGCCACCAGGCCAACCCCTGAGGGTTTACAATTATTTCCCTTTTTAAGATGTTGGATTGAAAGATTATTTTAGATTCTTGTCTAATTGTCTTTGTCACCATAATTATAGAGACATTGCAACCTATAATGCTAGGAAGAATTAAGCACTTGAGATTGTTGTTTTCCATTTGTATTTTAGAGGGCTTACTTCATTAATCTAATATGCTATTCATAATCTACTAGCTATCAGACATGACAGCCAAACAGTTGCACCATTATAATGCATTGACGTTTATAACAATATTAGGTATCTTTCATTTCTTAAAGCAACATATGACATTATGACCTATCAATGGAGAAAAGAAGAAAAGATCTTAATGTAATCTCCAATCCTATCTTACTTGCTTAATTTTTCTGCTAATATATGATATAAAAGCTTCACTGAGAATTACCAACTAGAATTAAGGTACTCAGTGTCCAACATTAACAGACACAGAAGAAAAACACTACAAATATAAAGGAACATTTTTTCATATCCAAATCAAATGAAAACCACTATCAAACATCTAAGCGGAAAAATGTGCAATAACTATTGAATTCTATGAGTCGACAAACACTTGAAAGGTCCATCTTGCCAAAGAAACTTCTTCTCTCTAGAAAGAAGAAAAACAAAGTGAAGTAAAAATAGTTATCCACTAAAAGCAGGCTATTTTGGTTTGGAAATGCGTATAGAAACAACATCTTTGAGACCAGGTATAACATTACAAATTTCTCTAAAGAGTGCCACGGGGAAGGATAACCATGAAAACGGGATTCAACAGCAAGTACAGAGAAATAAAGACACTTTCATGAAAATAAGAATGTGTTAATCACAACAATCACCGTCCAAGACTATTGCCTTGACAATGCGACACTAGGAAACATGCTCCAGCATCCTCTTGTAATAGTAGTAGGAACAACAAAAATGGCAGCACAAGCTAAATGTAAACCTAACCTATGATCAAGAGCACGGACTATGAAGTCAAAGTTCCTAGTACCAATCACACATGGCAAACAGATATGTGACGATTTTTCGCAGAACGAATTTAGATGAGTCCATTTCACTCTAAGTCCCAAAGAAAATGTTTAAAGTTTATCTAGTTATGAACGTTGCTGCTTCCATCATTTGCGGTTTCAATTTTATCAACTCATCAATCAAAAAAACAATGGATGGAACATCATATGAATAAAGGAGAAAGAAATCTTTCTCATTCTAGAGTGTTCCCACCCACCCACCCACCCCAAAACCAAAAAAAGAAATGCCAAAAATCCACAAAGGAAACGAGATGATAGATAACAAAATACATACCAAACATATGGAGTAAAAGATAGAATATGGATACTGATAACTTTTCATTTAGAAAAAAGATAGAATATGAATATGTTTAACAAATATATCGAAGGACATTCTTTTATCGATTCATTCTCTATCTACACAACAGCCACAATCTAGTAAGTTAAAAATAGGCCAGCTATAAAAATAAAAGCTGCAGCACCTAATAGACTAATTCCAGAAGCCAATAAAAGTGAAGTCATGCCACGAGGTACAAAGGTGCATCACCTTAAATCAACTATAACAATTTTTTTTTCTCTAATTGCTAAGTGAAGCATACAAAAATCACATGATATTCTCTCACCTTGTAGCATGAAGAATCCATCCCTAATTAGCTTTGTCAAAAATGTCTCAGTGGCTGGGTAAAAGAATCGTCTTCGGAAATGATGCTGTCCCATTATTGGATGCTCCTTGTATATTAAGGATTGTGGTGACCAGGTTGTAAATCTGAACGTTCTCAAAAGATGGCACTTTACTGCCCCTGGCAAACTGAGGACCATGGGCAATGAAAATGGTCCTCATTGAGAAGAATGCATTGTCATACCCATGAGATCCACCACACTCTTTCCTTTTTGAGCTCTTCTGCTCGACCTTAAATGATTCATCAATCAACCCAATGATGGGTGGTATCCGATCGCTTGCAGAATAATGCAGCCGGGCAGGCAGCTCCTCCTTCAGATAGACTTTCAAATACTGACCATTCTGAACCTTCCCCGACTTTAAACCCTCATTCATCTTGGTAACCACATCCTTAGCGGAGTAACTTGGTGGCGGACGAATGGAAAGCAATGGACTATATGATTGTATCCAATCCTTTGGAATTTCAATCCAGGGAGCCAAATCCTCCAAAAAGATTAACTTTTTATCACAAGTACCAACCATACCATGATCGCCAACCATTATAATGTTCACATCCTCAAAAACCCCTTTTTCTTCTAAACCTCGGATCAACCTCCCAATCATACCATCAACTCTTGCAATGGCTTCAGTGATTTGAGGATCATCTGGCCCAACCTTGTGACCCTGATGATCAGGATCTTCAAAATAGAGTGTCATGAATGAAGGAATTTCATCAGTTGGCAAGTCAAAGTAGTTCAGAACAGTATCAACTCTTTCCTCAAATGACACAGAACCATTATACCTCATACATAGAGATTCAGGACAAGTCCAACCTCCTTTAATCACCTCGGAGCCAGGCCAGAAATAAGTGGCAGCCTTAAGACCATGATTGACCACAGTCTCCCAAAGCGGCTCGCCGAGCCACCACTTGGGATCATGACTCCCCATACTGAAAGCCTCTCCAGTATTGGGATCAAGAAAGAAATTATTTATAATACCATGATAAGCAGGGTATAAACCAGTAACAATGGCGTAATGATTAGGAAAAGTCAAAGTTGGGAACACAGGAATTAAACCCAATTCGGCTTCTGTCCCATTCCTAATCAATCTATTGATATTTGGCACATCTGTTTTGTACTGATATCCAAAGCGAAACCCATCTGAGGAAATCAATAGAACAACTGGGCGTTTGAGTTTCTTGAGTGGCCGTGATACAACATCAGAAATGGGTTGAGAGGGATGTGAATAAGAGGAGGAAAAGAAGAGGAAACCAAAGGCAATAGCTGCAGAGAGAGCTATACAAGTAACGAGAATTAGAGCAGTAAAAATTACATTAGTCAAAGGGGGTTTAGGAGAAGTAGATGGGCATGAAGCATCTGTGTCAAAAGAAAGCAAAGAAGTGGAAATTGGTGGGTCTTCTTCTTCCTCTTTTGTGGGTACTGCCATTGGCTTGTTGTTGCAAGATGCTATACGGGACATTGAATCAGAATTCATCATCCCACATAGAAAAAGATACAATCTTGAGCTTAGAAAATTGCAAACAAAAACAAGAATTGAAAAGGGTGTAGCTGGATTTCAAAAGGATATATCAGTTACCTGAGATCGAACGACGAGGTTCGGAACTACGTTCGTCTGCTGTGTATTCAACAGTTCTTGTTATGGCAGATGAGAAATGGAGTGTGAAGGAAGTGAAATGGATTTATTAGTTGAAAGGGAGGCGTCAGACTCAAAAGGTAGCAGAATTAATTAGCAAGTCAGATGCTGGACTTTCGTCAAGACTACGGAAGATCAGTTTGGTGCTTAAGATCAAAGAAAGTAATTTCTGCACAATAATTGGGGAATTTCCTATGTGGATACCACAATATTACTACTACGTCTCAGTGAGAAAAAGTGTGTTTGACTATTAACACCTTGTTTGAATTATTACGTGTCGTTTCACAATGTATCGTATTGTATTGTACTGTACTGTATTGTATTGTTTGATAAAATATTTGGATAGATTGTATCGTTTGCCGTCGTTTCATGATGTCACGCACTAACAATATGAAGAAGAAAAAACTTGCGACATTACTTAAAAAAAATGGATACAAAGTAGATAAATTATATAAAAAGGTAGGCTAAATAATAAAAAATAATTATTTAATAATAAGGAAGAACAAAATAAAAGAATAAGCAAGTAAACAACGCCACCACACCAAATCGGTCGTTCCATAAAGTCACACTTTTCGTCGTTACGTAACGATGTATTTAACGATACGATACAACAAAATTTAAGTAACAATCAAAACAAACATTGTATTTAAAGTAATAATACGGTACAATACAATAGGTAACAACCATCCAAACGAGCTGTAAGATTAACGCGATATACATAACAATAAATTATTCATTAAATTCATGTTAGTTGAAATTAGCATAACCCTTAATATTCATTTGGATTCACATTATTAGAAAAATTCAATAATTTGAGATCTCGGCACTAAAAATATTCTATAACTTTTACCGGTATACACATTTTTAGTCAAACTAAAAGACTCTTAACAAACGTTGGATCTATTGTAACTCTACAAGCATATTGTCATACTTATAAACTAGTTGGTATTGCATGTATGAATTTTTTACTTCTATTATATTTTTCGTCAAATCTGTATAAATTCATAGATATTGTATGACTTTTGAGAAAATTTCTTATCATTTAATTTTAGTATTGTGTTTCCACACCTTTAGTTCAATACATCATTAAGGTCCGATCAAGCATGGAAAAATCATTTCAAGCAAACTTTCTCTCAATTAACTTGTATGTGTGCTACTCCTACATTTTGATAAGAAGTTAGACAAAATAAAAATTTATGAATACAAATGGAGACTTGTGGGAAAAAATATATAATGAAAACGAGATAATAACAATAGGAGATTGAGACAAGAGAGGGGATGATTTTTCAATCAAATATGTGTACATGAAATTCTATACGTGGTCCAATTATAGGCTTTGAACATCATAAGTTACAATAGGGAACTCTAATATGCTTATTTATTAATGCATAATATCATTATTATGAGGGTTATAGGCGTTGCATATGTAGGAGTTACTCGACAATACTAATGAGATTATTTACAACATTTATACATTTTAACTTCTGTTTTAAAAGGCACAAATTGGGACTCATTCGGGGCTCACTTCAGGGCGGAGCACTCGTAAAACGCCCCTGTGCTTATGTGTGGTGCTTAGTTCCATGAGACTTACCCATCGACCATCGGGGCTTACGCCCCGAACACATCCAACGCCCAGCGTACTGGGCTTGCCTAATAGAACTTTATGCAATTGTATGCAATTAACCTTGTAAATCCTCAATTTTTCTTAATAAATCGTTGACTATTCAAAATTACTTTTTTCTTAATCATAAATCGTTAAGTTGAGAGTATTTTATGTCATAATTAAAATAAAAATTATTGCACGTTATCCATTAAGACTGCTATGATAGTTAATTTTAAATAAATCTTTTATTTAAAAAGTATTTATTTATTAACTTTTGTTATGCCTTTACTATATAATAGTTCGTAATTTTTTTATAATTATTTTTTTAAATATTTTTTTTCCACGTTTACGAGATACAATACTTATTAATTTAATAGCTCAGTATTAACTAGTAACTATTTACCAATAATTAGTTATCATGGTATTGTATGGTGAATTATGTGTCACTTTATTAAATTGTTAATACTTAAAAATAAATGATGCGAGAGAATAATATTTAAATTATTGAATTATATTTTTATATAAATTCTCTTTCAAATAGAAAGCATATTAAAGAAAAGGAGTATTTAAGAAAAATATCAAATTATAATATCGAAATTCTTTCAAGATTCATTACTTTTTAAGAGATACATATAAGATTTTGTATCGAATACATTACTTTTGATGTTTGAGTTGCAATGACGTTGAAGCTATTTGCATATTGTGATATATGTCATACTTTTTGTATTACTCATAGTTGAATTATAATATAATAATATTTTAAATATATTATTTGTTATATTTTATGATTTTAATGTANTGTGCTCTTCCGATCTTTTTTATTTTATACTATCTTAAAATTCTTGAAATCAGTAAAATTTAAAGATTCGTGGGACTTACGCCCCATGTCTCAGGGCTTACGCCTCGCCTCACGCCCCCACCTTTTAAAACATTGATTTTAACTACAAAAAATAAAGTTCATACTTCATAATACTCTGTAGGTAATTTCTAAATACGGAAAAGGGTCAAATATGTCCCTGTACTATCGAGAATAGTTTAAATATGCACTTCGTTATACTATCTGGTTATATAAAACCCTACCGTTATACCATAAAACAAATATACCCTTATTTTTAACAGAGATCAAATTGACCCGTCCCTTTCTTTTTTTTGCCCGGTTCACTTGCAAAAAATACTACCCGACCCAAAGCTTACTTGTTAGTAACAAACAAGAAATAAAGGATTTTGCATATATCATCGGAGGTTTGCCGGAACTGTAAAAAATGGATTATATAGTAGCATCAAAACAGAACATACAAGGTTAGTAAAACCCGATGAAGCAATACCAACAATGTCAATGAGACCGTGGCAATAATAAAAAATTGCAATTTCTCCAGCAATTTAATAAGTCTGGATATCAAGATTCTGGCATATTTCCAAATTAAAATCTAATCACAAAACTAGTTAGACTAATTCGATACCACAAACCAAAATTTTGGTTCTGAAAAATGAAGTAACCATCAGACAGACAATAAAAGTCGCGTGAGACGGTGCTACAAAGGCGTTAGACAATAAAGCAGCGGTCAGAGGGAACATGTGCGCAAAGGTCGCCAGAAATTCTTCGGCAAGATTCTGACCAAACACCGAGGTCGGGGTTTCAGCTATCTATTTTGTCTCTCTTCCAGATCCGTAAAATAAAAGGAAAATACGAAAAAGGAGAGCAAATGACTTGCCGGAAAAATATATTTCCGGTCAGATCCAATAAAATCCAGACCCAAAACTTTCAGATCTCCGGTCTCTTTTATGTATTTCTCCAGATCCGTTTATAAATGTGTATATAGGTAGAGAAAGCGAAAAGAAGGTGTGAGGTGACAAATTTAAAGGTTCTCCATGATCTACGGCGAGTTCGCCGGTGGAGATTCCGGCGATGGTCATTATAGTGTGGTGAGGAGAAGAGAGGAGGAAAAGAGGAGAGAGAAGCAATGGGGATAGACTTTGGTCGGGTAGTATTTTTTGCAAGTGAACCGGGTAAAAAAAGAAAGGGATGGGTCAATTTGATCTGGTGAAGCCACGTGGCACTCCGTTAAAAATAAGGGAATATTTGATTTATAATAGTATAACGGTAGGGTCTTATATAACCGGATAGTATTACGAAGGGTATATTTAAACTATTTTCCAGAGCACAGGGACATATTTGAAACTTTTCCGTTCTAAATATTTAAAAATCTGTCGAAAAAATTAAAAGACTAATGTCAAGGTGCGACAATATAAACGGCGTCGTTCCAGCCTCATTCTCCTTCAGAGAAATTGAGTCCCCTTTTGGTGTCTGCTCCCGCGGCCATTCCCGAGCATAACCAAAAGCTTAAACGATCACCGGAATTGGAATCAGATAGCTGAAGAAGAAGGAGAAGGACAACAATGGCATATATAAGTATGGGGGAAGCTCATAGAAGAATCACTGACTTCTTAAACCGCTTCTCCGACGCCGTTTCGTCCCAAGACGCCAAGTCCCTCTCCCTTATCTTCTCTCTCTCTTCTAACCCTTCTTTCCTCGTTGCTGTCTCCGATGCCCTCATCACTTTCCAGGTCACTTCCATCTCTCTCTCTCTCTCTCGCGCGCGCGCTGTTATTTCGCTTTTTATGCCCTTTAAATTTTATTCAATCTTTCGAGATTTGTTTTAAAAAATTGTCTTTTGCGCATTCAATAGCTAAAGAACACCTAGGCATAGCTCAAAAGTCCGTTTTGACTGTGGGTTCACTTTAGATATTGAATTCATGAGTGTACTAAAGTCTTTTTATTTCGCATGAACTAAATAGCTTTATGTTTTCCTTTAGAACTTAGGGCTTTGAATCAGATTGATGATTCCTTTTTCTCGGTAATTCGGATTCTAAGGATGAAGTTTCGGTGTGCATTGTATTACTTTTGCAACTGATATTTCCTAGTACGGTAAATTTAAATTTCGCATTGGGTTTCTTATGTCTCTTTTATGTGAGGCAATGGTCACTAATAACATAGTTGCATATTTTTTGAGATGCAATCTGGCATGTGAATGAATGCTTCTTGTAGATAGCAAAACCCCCGTTATAAAATTTGATCTTTAATTTTGTGGTTATTTTGGTGTATCGCGTGTCTAAAACAGGATGCTAGCAGAGTAATCAGACAAGCTGATAGATACTCTCAGTATGCAGATATTCTACTCCCTCTATTTCGTGCTTTACAAAGTTATCGACTCAGAAACTTGGTTGAATCTTACCAGGCTTTTGAAAAAGCTGCCAAGTGAGTTAAACTTCACTTCTCTCCTTTTTCTTTCTTTTCCCTCTACCCCTTGTCTCCCTTCACAGGGGCAAACATTGATTTGTGGAGATTGCAGTGCATTTACTCAGGAGTTCCGCAACTGGGAATCCGCTTGGGCGTTGGAAGCACTTTACGTCATCGCCTATGAAACTAGAATTCTAGCTGAAAGGGTAAGAGCTACTCTTGTTAGTTTTAGAAAATGAGAAGGTTTATTGAAGGTAACCGATGTATGTTTTTGAGTGTATAGGCAGATAGAGAGTTGGCTTCTAATGGGAAAACACCTGAAAAGCTGAAAGGTGCTGGCTCATTTCTCATGAAAGTATTTGGAGTCCTTGCTGGAAAAGGATCGAAACGTGTTGGAGCTTTATATGTGACTTGCCAGCTGTTCAAAATATACTTCAAGCTCGGAACAGTTCACTTGTGTAAAAGTGTTACAAGAAGCATTGAAACTGCCCGCGTTTTCGATTTTGAGGAATTTCCTCTTAGGGATAAGGTTACTTACATGTATTATACTGGGCGGTTGGAGGTCTACAATGAAAATTTTTCCGCTGCTGATCATAAGCTATCATACGCTCTAAGCCATTGCAATCCTCGGAAAGTAAGAAATATAAGGTCTGTATAGGTTCCTGCTATGTTTCAGGATTATAATGTTTCACTCATGAAAGGAAATAGTAGTAGTTATAAAGAATATTAGAATGAATTTCCTGCGACAAGTATCAATTTTCTGCAATAAATGCTGAATATAAATTCAAGGAGTCAGTTTTCTATTTCAAGCACCAAACTAGACACTTTTACTGACAGCATTTGGTTCATCTTTTATGCATTTTTTACAGGATGATTCTAAAATATCTGATACCTGTGAAGCTCTCAATCGGCATCTTACCTAAAACTTCACTTTTGGAGAAGTACAATTTGACTGAGGTATTGCATGTCTTCTAATTCATTCAGCTTGAAATATTAAGATTATTTTGGATAAGTAAGAAATACCATTTACTTATATCAACGGAAAAACTGCTACTCTCTTTTAATAGCTCGGATTAGCCTATTAGTCAACTACTATGGGATTAGGCATTTTGCTAGCTGTTAAGACCTATCTAGTCAGGTCTAGGTACTCTGTACTAAAACATGAACTGCCAAGATATATGTATTAAGTGCTGTTCAAGATTAATTGAGAATATATGTTGGTATTCGATCCTATAAGTTCCTGTGACTACATTAAGCCGAGCAAGATTGTGATTTCATTTCCCATGGAAAACATGTTACACTCAGATCGCATCAACAAAATTGATACTCTTAGTTGAATGGTTTCTAGGAAGCAAGTGTCTGTAGTGTAAGGTACCAACTAGTTGGCCAATAGAAATTGTTTTTTTTGCTTTTTGTCTATTCTTTATTGTCATAATCGTCTATCGTCTTTAGTGTTTATGCTCTTGCTTCGTTTATTCCTTCGTTCTTTGACGTGAAAAAATGTACTCCATGCCATGATCTTTTACTTGGAGTTCTTTCCTCGAAAGTTAAAGAATTGTTGATATTCTACTGTAATTAACTTACATCAACTCTGTTTCTGGTTCAGAAAGACCTCAACACTGCTCTACTTTCTTCTATTAAAACAAGTTATTCATTTGCCCTATTCAACTTATTTTTAAAAGAAGCTTGGTCCATATGTGAAGTTCATTGCACCCTTAACCTCCTTTCTCTTTCTTTATTTCTTTTTATGAATTTTTTGGAAACTGTGTTCTAAAGGTACTACTTCATCAGATCCATCCCATATGTGAAGTTCATTGCACCCTCAACCTCCTCCTTTCTTTCTTTCTTTCTTTCTTTTTTATGGAATTTTTGAAAACTGTGTTCTAAAACTTTTTTTTTGAAACTGGTAACTTTTAACTGTGTTCTAAAACTTACCCAAAAAAAACGAAGGTTCTCACTTCATCAGAAGAGGGAAAATTCTGAAAAGTTTGTCCAATGTAGAAGATCAATGTATTCAAAGTACTTCTACTAAGAGGAGTTAGTGAACCAGTTTATTTAGTTGAGCTTGGTAGATCTTTCGTTGTCTCTAGATGATGACAAAACAGGAGTTCTGTTCGATAAAATGATGTCTATCATGGGAAATACCATGTAGCTTTCTAGTGTTTAAATGCAAGGAGGTGCACTTCTTATGAATCAGAAGGCGTGATTGTTGACTTTATGACGAGTAGATGTAGAAAACAATAGTTTCATGCTTTGTAATCTGACTCTCATTTTTTTCTTTTATATTGTTTTTACAGTACAACAACATTGTGCTTGCTCTTAGAAGGGGGGATCTACAACTTCTTCGACGTGCTCTGCAGGAGCATGAAGACCCGTATGTTTACTTTTCCTTATTACATGTGAGGCATTATATTTGCATATCCTAATAGTACTCCTCCCGTTACCAGGTTCTTAAGGTCTGGTGTTTATCTTGTCCTGGAAAAGCTAGAGCTCCAAGTTTACCAGAGGTTACTAAAGAAGATGTAAGTGTCATACTTTTCTTTTTATTGTTTCTGTCTAATTGTATTTAGGTATTAAAATCACTGTATTAATGGTCATACAGCTATATCATCCAGAAGCAGAAAGATCAGAATAAAGCTCACCAAATCAAGTTAGACTTAATTGTTAGAGCTTTAAAATGGCTTGAAATTGATATGGATGTTGATGAGGTAAACTATTTGGCTCTTATAGACTGGTTGGTAAAGATTTCATCTTCCTTTTTCAATTGGCGCTCTTCCTTTACACACACACACACACACAGACCAAAAAAAAAA